TATATATATATATATATATATATATCATTTCAAATTTTTTGTTACTTTTTAAACGTTAAATGATCTCTAAATCTTTCCTCTGCATCCTCATTGGACAGCATCTCTTCAAGCTTTACTATAACATGAGGCTAAGAGTGCACTGACCCCTTTCTCTACCTTTATCCCTTCCTTCCATACTTTATCTGGTATCAGCCACAGCTGCTACTTTTACATCGTCAGGAGAAATAGCATTTATGTACTTTCTTGCAACCACAGTCATAGTTGACCATAGGATGACTCTAAACTTTGAAACCAACAGATAGCACTTGCCTTATAGGACTATGTTAATATAGGGTGCCCCCAAAAGTATATACACACTTTGAATGATTATAAAGTCGGTGATTATTAGCATACAGTTCATTTTCAAAATTTAAAAGAATCTACAGAAATGATTGATTTTTTTGTCAATATCTGTTTTCAAATTGATGACAGTTCTAGGCACTGCTGATAACGCAAAGCAATGGAATCGCAACCATCAAGAATCATTTTGTTTGGTATTTGTGTGCCCTTGATTCATCAACTATTGCCAGTTTTGTACCCTTTTTTTCACAGCTCTGCCACTGTATCTATTATTGATCAAAAGTTTATAATGGTCTCTATTATCCACGAATGAGTGAGATCATGAGGTATTTTTCCTTCATTGACTGGCTTATTTCACTTAGCATAATGCTCTCCAGTTCCATCCATGCTGTTGCAAATGGTATATCCTTTTAACTTTTAAACTCCTGGGATATTATGGCATTCAACCATTTGATATCATTCCTAACATTTCTCATCAAATCTTTATATTATTTCAAATCTCTTGAAACCGCATCTCATAAGAAGTTAGAAAAAAAGAATATGATAATTTAAGAGTTTGTAGTCATGTTTAACTTAATCTGACCCAGTTGTTTATGGCCTTAATTAGAAAACCAGTTAAATGGTAGTTTCCTTGTAGGACCAGGTTCTTCAACTAACTGTTGAAAATGAAATGCACTTTTTTGAAAATAGGTTCCTTTATGGAATTGCCCTAGACCTCTGAACCGTAATAAAATAAAAATTTGCATTAAAATGAGAGAAGCTACATTTCAAATTTCTAACCCTTACATACATACATACATACAAACAGAGGCTCACTGAAGGTGGAATCAGAGCCTCATACGTGTGGAGAGCTCCAAGCAGACCATCTTTAGCTGCTCCCCAGTTAAGGCTAGGGCCAAGGAATGGAGTCTGGGATAGGTGCAGAGACCCTCACTCAAGTAGATTTCCCCTCGTCCAACTCTCTTGCAGGGGAAATGAGGTTGTTTTCTCAGCCACTAGCTGGGGAGTAAATTTAGAGCTTTAACATTTCCTTGTCCATGTGTCAGAAAACAAGAGATCTAAACAGGAGGAAATGCACTGGCAAGATTTCACAGCCTTCCTGGCTGGCTGCAGTCTGACATGGTGTGAACGGGAGCGCTTGTCATCTTGTCTAAAGGGCTGCAGCTGTTTCATGGCTTGACTTCCGGGTACTTCTGTACAGATTTCATTGATGGAGTCCATTCTTGGCCTTGCCAAGTCATTTTTCTTGAGTTGACGTACAGTTTAGTACATAAGCATTCTTTTTTTTTTAATCAAGGATTTTTCCTATTTGTTTTGTTGTTGTTTTGTGTGTGTGTGTGTGTGTGTGTGTGTGTTTTGCCAGGTATAAACTTGGAAGGATTAGAACTTTTAGGATATAATGTCAGACTAAAAAAAATTTTTTATGATGTATTCTGCTCATTTTCCCCTTGGTTTTAGGAGCTGGGAATCCAAAGTGCAAAATTGCAATTGTTATGGGAAAAACTAAAAATGCCACGGCACCAAGGTAATAAAACAATTGTGATTGAAATATATGTATGAATACAAGTCAGTCTTCCTCTCTATCCACATAATTTACTTAAAATGCAACATTTGGGTTCATAAATCATAATATAAAATATGATATTAAATGTCACACATTTGTATTTCACTATTTTTTTGCTTAAAGATATATTTAGGACATATTTTAGGAAATGTTGCTGTATATTCTTCACTGTGGAAATTCCTGTATTAAAAGTGTTGCTACTTCCCAAAGCTTTTTGGGTCAGATTATAAAACAACATTTTTCAGAACTGTCTGTAAGTAATTAAGTGATGTTTAGATCAAACTTTTGAAATGTTTAACACTGTATATCAGTTCCCATTGTTGAGCAATGAGAAGCCTCAATTAAATAACTTTTACTATTGTTCCAGATCCCAGCCTGCATCCGACTCTGCTGGATATATTATTTTTACACCCTATTCTAGACATCATTATTTATGTGTTATATGATGGCAACAACAAAAGTGACAATTGTAATTCCACCTAACATCTGTTTTATTTCTCCACTTAGCAGACTTCTAACATCTCTTTTTGTTTTGATCAGACACAAACAACACAGCATGATTCTTGTTCCTATCAACACACCTGGAGTAGAAATCATAAGGCCTTTGTCAGTTTTTGGCTACATGGGTAAGTGCTCCATCAACATGGCTATGCTGGAAGACTGGAGTATGTAGTTAGACTGAAGGGAATAGATTGCATTTTAATGTAGGACATGTGTTCTTAGAAATCTTTTGGCCCTAACAACTGCCTTAATATAAATGCCAACAAATAAAGAGAGGTGGTGCATTTTGTTTACTTTTGGGAAAGGGCGTATTCAAGGAACAACTCTGACTGCCAGTGTTCTGTCATCCAGGAGGATGGACCAATGTAAAATATACCTAGAAAAATTAAGTCTAGGCAATGCACAATAAAATTGATTTTTAGCTTTCTTAATCATCCTGTAAGAGCTGTAAGTAATGAGTTTTGACTGAATTGAATGCCAAACTTTTCCTCCCTTCTGTCCTTGCATGGAATTTCTAAGGATACCTTTTTTAAAAATATATTTTTAAAAATATATTTTATTGATTTCAGAGAGGAAGGGAGAGAGGGAAAGGGACAGAAATATCAATGATGAGAGAGAATCATTGACCAGCTGCCTCTTGCACACCTCACACTGGGGATTGAGCCCGCAACCTGGGCATGTGCCCTGACTGGGAATCGAAATGTGACCTCCTGGTTCATAGGTTGACACTCAACCACTGAGCAGTACTGGCCGGGCAGCAAGAATATTTTTCTTACCTGCCACCCACATCAGACTCATGTCCATTGTTTCCTTGCTGCTCAGGTCATTCACTCAGCAAGTATCTGAGTGCTGAACTGTTCTTAGTGCTTAGTGTACATTAGTGAAAACAAGAGGCTGATCTCTCATAGAGCTTACGTGCTTCAGGGAGGAGACAAGGATTAACTACAAACATGTAAATAAGCAAATTAGGTAGCATGGTGATTATACAGCAGGTGATAATGCTATGAAAAAGTTTATTGAACTTCTGGTTCTGTGGTGACACTGGCTTTCTCTTTGTTGTGGTGCAATGAAAATGTTCAAGTTTTGCCCTAGCTGGTTTGGCTCAGTGAATAGAGCATCGGCCTGTGGACTGAAGGGTCTTGGGTTCGATTCCAGTCAGGAGCACATGCCAAAGTTGTGGGCTCGATCCCTGGTGGGGGGCATGCAGGAGGCAGCCAATCAATGATTCTCATCATTGTTGTTTCTCTCCTTTCCTCTCTGAAATCTATAAAAATATATTTTTTAAAAAAGCTCATTTCACAGAACATCTGACATGATCACCCTCTAGGATGCAGCTGTGGAACGCACCCACAGATTAAGCATTGGCGAGATGGGGATGAACAAGCTCACTGCAGCAAGTTGTGCATAGGAAGTTGGCTTGCAGACCAGCAGCCTGAAAGACTCCCACAATGGGTTGGTTCATAATATCGATTGGCTGCAAATACCCTCCATTGCAGAGCTATGTTAGAATTTTCAGTATGAGAAATCCACCAGCATTTCTCCAACTCCCTATGCCCAAGGCCAAAAGAAACAGTGTGGAGAAGATTGATTACTGACCTCGCTCTGACAGGAAAAGGGTGTGGGGTTAGCATGAGATTATCTCCAGAACTGGGCGGGGAGGAGCAGTGCTGTAAAGACAAGTGTGAATGTGTTCCCAGTATCAGTGATATGCCAGCATTTTCAAGAGGTGACACATTGTGAACAAGCCTGCACTGGGAAAAACATTCCTAAAGGCCCAGCCTGCTTCATCTCCAACGCTGAGCCAGCTCCGTCCCTCTGAGCAGCCTCTTCGCATCTTTGGGCATTGGTTTTTACGACGATAAGAAGAAACTTAAATTACATTACTCACTTTCAATTTCTGAATTATTAGAACTTATTTTTTTCCCAAGCAAAATTTTCTTTGGAAGCCCATATATAAAAAAATTCAAAGCAGCAGCAATAATAAAATAGTCTGATAGGAGCTGTGGATCCATCTTCCCCTTGATCGGCTGCAGCCTGCATGCCCACTATTAGGGATCGAGTCCATAAACCAGGCATGCGCCCTGACCAGGAATGGAACCGTGACCTCCTGGTTCAACCGCTGGGCCATACTGGCCAGGCCCATCTTCCCTTTTAATAGCTTTACAACTTCAGAGAATGAGTTCAAAAGCCCTGGGTCAAATTTATTTTTAAAAACTCTTCTAACTTGAACATTTGATGAGTTTTCTGGGGTATAGGATGCTAGGGGGCTGGCTCAGGGCTCAGATCTACCCAGGAATGTGACATATGAGGCTTTTAAATCCTACTGTCTAAGTAATTATACTTCAGATTAATTATATGGTACTATTTTTTTGTTAACTCATTGTGCTCTTGAAAATTTTATTTTCTATTTGATAGATCATTTGCATGGAGGACATTTTGAGATCCATTTTAATCAAGTGCGAGTTCCTGCCAGCAATTTAATACTAGGTGAGAAAAGTTTGCAAAAATGATTCTACTGTACTGCGTATTAAAATATCTCCATGTCTAAATATGGAAAAGATATAAAGTCTGCGTTAATTTAGATACTTTCCCTCTTACTCCATTTACAAGGAAATATTATTCCACTTTGTGGATTTTCTTACATGGAATAATGTTTTATTAAAGTGTTTGTGTTTTTGTATCACATCAATTGAAAACATAGTTAAACAATTATATAATTCAGAGCCACATGCTTTTTCCTAAAACATTATCTTCAGGCCTCTGCTTGTTTTAAGAAAACCTCAGTATTCTCTGAATTCAAATTTTACACGTTAGAATCAAATAACCTGAACACTGTGTGCCTGGAATGACTCCGCCCTCTTGTTTATCGGAATCCTGCCCCACCTTCAGAGAATCGCCAATGGCACCTCTTCCCGGAAGGTTTTTGTGCTCCTCACCCCATTCACTCTGCAAGAACCAGGCCTGCCAGGCCGAGGTGACAGTCTCTTCCTCCTTCGCCACCTCTGTCCTCTGTATCCCAGCCTTGTCTCCTCTTCTTGACTTTAATGGCTAACCTTTCTCTGTAACCATCGTGGCACTAATAAATAGCTTACACATACTAGGTACTCAAGAGCTAATTCTTAAATTTGATCACAGTGTTTAATGATGGCGATTTAAAAAGAGAAATCAAAAGTTCTGTACATGTATAATGAATCTAATTACAGAACTTTCTTTCCTACCAGAATGTCATTTATACTGAAGGTCAGCTCATCATTTTCTCAGGATTTGTGTAACTAACACAACGAATGGGCTGCAGCTACTTTCCTCTTGGTGTTTCTTTCTCACAGGTGAAGGAAGGGGATTTGAAATTGCCCAAGGCCGCCTTGGGCCTGGCAGAATCCACCACTGTATGCGAACCGTAGGTCTGGCGGAGCGAGCTCTGCAGATCATGTGCGAACGGGCAACTCAAAGGGTGGCCTTTAAGAAGAAACTGCATTCGCATGTAAGGATCATGATTTACTATTTCAATTTGTTGCAGCCAATGCGCTACACTAACCTTGAACCAAAACAGCATTTGGTCAGAGAGAGATTTCCTCTACGTGCAACAAGGAGATGCTTTCCCCCAAAGTACATTTATATCTGTATTTAAATGGTCTGCTAAGAGAGGTTTCTCTTTGTGCAGATTAAATAACTCCAGAAGTGCTTCAGCATGGAGAGCGTGGACAATCCTTCAGCTTTCTCAGATTCTCGCTCTCCAGAGAATCTGGGACATTATACTGTCTGTGGGCATGTGAGGGCTGTCATAGGAGGAGGGACTGCTTTGTTTTCGGCTTTCTGGAAGAATTAGTATAGATAAGTGTAAAGATAGAGGAAAACAGCCTAAAATTCAGTGAGAGGAGAGAGATTTAAAAATGGAATGGATGCATCAGGAGGAAGTGAGTTCCCTGTCATTGGGAAATTTAAGTAGAAATGGAACCAAGAGTTGGTGGGATATTCATGATTTTTTAAAATTCTCTCTATAAATGACGTACTACTGAGTCTATTGTTTACAAAGCACAATAAAAATTAGAGAACATGCCCTAACTGGTTTGGCTCAGTGGACAGAACGTCAGCCTGCGGACTGAAAGGTCCCAGGTTCGATTCCGGTCAAGGGCATGTACCTTAGTTGCGGGCACATCCCCAGTAGGAGGTGTGCAGGAGGCAGCTGATCAATGTTTCTAACTCTCTATCCCTCTCTCTTCCTCTCTGTAAAAAATCAATAAAATATGTTTTAAAAAAATTAGAGAATATTTATCACGAGAGAAGATATCATTTCAGACTTTCTTGAAAAACTTTTTAAGGCAAGTGGGATATCCAAATCATTCCCAGAAAGCCCTTCTAATTTTTAAGAAGACAGAATTATTGTTAAATATTTAATACTTACAATTGCTGACATGTTAATATAGATAAAACTTGTGATAAAATTGTACTTGTGTTTGCTGGACAAATATATTTTAGAACATTGGTTTCCTTGTAAAGTACATTTGTGACCATCTTTTGAAATGTTGCAATATATTTTTCACTTTAAATTTCTCTGTAGACTATGTTTGCTTTTTATGAAATATTTTCAGCAGATCTATGTTTAGTCATAGCATTGTTCTTTTGGGAAAATACAGCCTGCTTTATGGAATACACATAGGAATCATTCATGGGGAACCCCTTTAGTACATGGCCGG